CTGCGAGCATGTGAGGGGGGGGAGAGCCCTTGATGTCCATTTCCCCGTCACGACCACGGGGGGGGGGGGGGGGGGGGGGGGGGGGCGATCGCCGCGGGTGTATCCGGTGCGCACATGCTTGAGTGCCGCGCCATCAGCAACCGCGAGCTTGAAGGAGCGTGAAGTCAAGACACTCTTGGACTGGTAGAGCTGAAAACGGTCGGCCGCTTCGAAGCCGGCTTCGTCCGCCGCTTGAAGCACCTCGAAATGCTTGTTGATAAGCATTTCGATGTGCTTGACGTTGTTGAGCGCGCCGATGACGTCGTCGTGCTGCAGCTTGTAATCGATGTGCTTGAGGTGTGCTTGGATGGCGGTGAATACCTTTGCCTGATCACGTACGCCCTTGCGCATGAAGGTGGTTGGGGCGGGCGTAGGGGCGAGGGGGGGAAGAGGGGGTACGGGAGCAATAATGCGGTGGCGAGCAATGTTTACCGGAGCCTCACCATCTTCATTGTCGGAGTCGTCGCTGTCTTGGATGTCGATGACGGGCGTTGGAAGCATCTCTGGGGGCTGGTCGTCGATGCTCGGGGCCTTTGGGCTGCGGAGGCATTGCCATTTATTTTTTCTTGGCCAAATTAGTCTTAGCAGCGTTGATATTGACGGAAGAAGTGGCGAGCGTAACAAGCGCCTGCTGCTGTAACAGCGCGAAAAGCGCCTGGAGCTGCAACGTGGTCAAAGCGAGGACAGCGGCGGGTGGGGCGAGCTCCTCGGCAGACACGTGCCGAACGGTGGGGCCCGCCTGGGCAGCGGGCAGCGCGGTGCAACTCGGCGTGTGGACCTCAATTGACTGCACGCGCGGCTGCTTGGCAGACGCGCATGTTTCATCGGGGGTGGCATGAGTTGCGCCCAGTAGAACGTCGACACCCGAAGTCCCCTCGCCAAAATTGTCCTCAGCAGGACGTTTTTGGCGATGGTCGGTTACCCGGTCCGAAGTTCCGGGATCGCCGATATTTGCGGGGGTGGACTGGTTGTTCGCCTCGCGAGTTGGCGCGGAATTGGCGGGAGTCATTGCCGATAGGTTATGCTGCAAAATGTCAGTTAGTAATGTCGATGGTGTCCTGAAGCGTGGAAGTGACTGAATTTTTGCCAGGTTGGACGAGAACACAAAAAAAAAAACTAGGAACTCAAATGAGGGAAACTCAAATGAGTTGAACTAGAAATGAAGAACGTGGGTGAGGCCGAGAGGCCTCACGTTCCTCTTTTGAATGCAAAAGAGGGTTAGGTGCGCTTCACCGCTGCCTTTGTAGTGTTGGCCCTTGCTACACTATCACAATACACGTTTTTAGAAAGCGTTACACGCTTAAAAAAAACATATTTGTTTCTGAATTACAAGGTCCGCTCGGCGGCAAAAAGCGAGCAGGATGAAATCTCGAGTCAACAACCATTAGCAGCAGAAAACCGTGCAGAAACATCAAGTCGCTGCGCGGAATTGAATCCTTAGCAAGGTCGAGAGGATCTTGACCGCCCAAATCGAAATGGGGAATCGAATTGCGGGGAAGGAGGAATCGAATTGTGGGGGAAGGGGGAATCGAAATTGTGGGGGGAAAGGGGATTCGAAATTGTCAGGGGAAGGGGGAAACGAAATTGTGGGTAAAGGGGGAATCAAAATTGTTGGGGCAGGGGGAACTGATATCAGAAATTGAAGAAGTGAATAATGTTAGAGAGAGGGTACACACAGATATACCTAAGTGTTGTACCCTCTAAGAGGCTACCCTATACAGTCTATACAAACATGACAAATACACATGTTTGACACACCCCCTAGACTGCATAGGGGAATGTCCTAAACAAGCAGCTCAGGGCGGCACTACTAGTCCAACCTCTGAGACAAGGGTCTGAGAGACCAGTCAGAAGGAGTACAGACAAGGCAAGAACAAGAGCAGGGCGGCACTACTAGTCCAGCCACTGGGAGAGGACACAAGTCCAGTCTGAGTATACATATAAAGGACAGTACAAAGTCAAGGTCCTAGCAAGTGAGAGGCTACAGGAACTAGACCAAGCTGTACACAGTGCCGCTGATGATCTTTAGGCGCAAGCGCCTTCGTAAAGATATCAGCCGTGTTGGCACCTGAGGCCAAGTGTACTACGCGAGCCTGACGTCGCTGCTGTAGCTCACGCAGGAGGAAGTACCGCAGCTGAATGTGCTTCGCTCTGCCTTCGAGTCGAGGCTCCTGACACAGGAGGATCATGGCCCTGTTGTCAGCGAACAAGACCGGGGCAGAGCTAGGCCGCTCACCTAAGTCAGTGAGCAAGAAGGTCAGCCAGCGGAGCTCCTGTGCCGCCATGGCACCAGCGTAGATCTCAGCCTCACAGCTGGACTGCGCCACAGACGAGGAGCGGGTAGCTCTCCACGAGACGGCACCTGAGCCAAGGCTGAAGCAGTAGCCCTGGGTAGACCTGAGTGTCTCAGCGTCGTCTGCCCACGAAGCGTCTGTGTGTCCAGTAAGGACCACTGGCCTACGTCCTCCTAGCACTCACCCAATGCCCGATGTACTAGCAAGATAACGCAGAACCCTCTTAGCGGCAGACCAGTGCTGCGGTCGGTGTCTGCCTGTGGCCACAAAGCGAGCCAGGATGCTGAGAGGGTATGCAAGATCTGGGCGAGTGCAAGTCATCAAGTACATGAGGCAACCCACCAGCTCTGCGTAGGGGCCGCTGGGCTCTACCAACTCCTCAGACACTGGAGCGGAGAGCCTGTGGTCTACAGGCAGAGGGGTGGGCTGTGCAGAGGAGAACTGAAGGCTGAACCTCTGAAGGACCTGGCGCACCAAGTGTGACTGAGTCAGGGTGATGGTGCGCGTAGCTCTGTCCCTGGAGATCTGCAAGCCAAGGTAACGGCGCAGTTCTCCAAGGTCAGTGCAGGTGTGTCTCTTCAGCAGCTCTGCCTTCACGGAGGCCAGTGCGTCCCTGTCTGCTGTGGCAAAGACCAGGTCGTCGACGTAAACAAGGATGTAGAACGGAGTCTGGCCAGCACGAACGAAGAGGGAAGGGTCTGCGGAAGACGGAAAGAACTGCAGGTCGGCAAGCGTAGCACGGAGAGTGTCGTGCCACTCACGGGGAGCCTGGCGCAGGTCGTAGACGGGGCGCCGCAGGAGCCACTGGGTCCCAGGAGGGAAGGTGCCAGTAAAGCCCGGAGGGCGACGTAGGTAGACCTGCTCGTGTAGGCTGCCCTGAAGGAAGGCAGTGGAGAAGTCGAGGGAGTGAAGCTCGTAGTCACGCTGAGCAGCTAGGTGTAACAGAACCCGAAGAGTAGTCATCTTCGGGGTCGGAGCGAAGGTCTGGAAGAAGTCCACCCCCTCGCGCTGACTGAAGCCTCTAGCCACATAGCGCGCCTTGAAGACAGGCGGCTCTCCAGGAGGGCGCTTCACCTTGAAGAGCCAGCGGCCATCGACTACGTTCACCCCAGGCGGGGGAACTGCGTCGACGAAGGTGCCGGTGGATCTCCAAGATGCCATCTCCTGCTCCATGGCAGCTATCCACTGCGAGGCCCAGGGTCCCGAAGTCGCCTCAGCGTAAGTGCGAGGGGTCGGGATGTCGAAAGCGTTTGGGTCACCCTCAGGGACTAGCAGCATGGAACAGAGATGGGGAGCAGCCTCGGAGAGGAAAGCAAGCTCGAACTGGCGGTCCTCCAGGACGTCACTGCCAAGGGCAGGAGCACCCCCGACAGACGGAGGACAGGCAGGGTCAGAGACCAGCGCTGTGGCGTAGTCAAGGCGGCGGGTAGAGGCGAAGTCAGCGACAGCAGCGACAAGGGCGTCAAGGCACGAGGTCGGAACAAACGGGCCGGTAACGAGAGAGGCAAGGACGCGAGGAACAAGAGGACGAGCGGCACGAAGGTAGTCAGACAGCGGGGGGGGTGCAACAACAAGGGAGGACGGAGGAGGCAACGGCAGAAGGGGAGGACGAGACGCGTGGGAACGAAGCAACATAGGGTGGGAGCGCAGGACAGGCGAGGCAGGACGAGCACGGGAGGGACGGTGAGACCAGACGTGCGACGGAGGAGTCGGGTCTGGAGACAGAGGAGGGGACACAGGAGGGGAACGAGGGGGGAGACGGGCCGGGGACGAGTCCGGCGGAGGGAAAACAGGGCCGTAGACAGGAAGAGGAGGAGACGGTCGGGGAGGAACCGACGCAGGGTCGGGGGACGGCAGGCCGAGTAGGCGAAGGGCTGACACCGGCGGGGACTGCTGCTGCGGCGGCACAACGGCGACACCGGGACCGCAAGCTGCTCCTCGGCTACCCCGGGCACTCTCCACACCAGCACCCCCAGAGGGACCACCCCCAGGGCTACCGGGACGAGCACCCCCAGAGTCAGGGAACGGGTGCTGCGACGGCGGCGGCGGCGGCGGCGGCGGCAACGACGGCTGCAGCGGCGGCAGAGGCGGTGGAGGAGGGGACTGGGGAGGGGACGCCAGGGTAGGGGCGGCTGGCGAGGACTGCACAGGAGGGCCACCAGAGTCAGAAGACTCCTCAACCGGGTCCACCGACGGAAGGGGGGTGACGTGGGACACACCAGAGGGGGCGGGACGGGGAGGAGGAGGAGGAGGGGCAGGGACTACCGGGGAAGGAGGGACCAGGAACAGGGGGGGGGTAACCGGGGGACCACGGTGGGGGAAGCGACGGTAGTAGGAGACGGACTCGTCAAAGGTGACGTCATGAGAGTGAAAGGAGCGGTAAGACGGCGGGTGGTAAAAGTGCCAGTCGGACGCGTCAAGGGGAAAACCGAGGAAGACGCAGGGAAGGGTGCGGGCAGTGAGCTTGTCCGTGCCGGAGGCACGGACGTGAGCAAGGCAGCCCCAGACGTGGAACGCAGACGCGTCACCAGGAGACCCAGTCCAAAGACGGGTCGGCGAAACCAGCGGCTGCTGAGGGAAAGGAGGAGGAGTGAGGGGCACGGCGAAGCCGACCCTCGACACAAGGCGTGCAAGGTGGGGCTGGGGAGGAGGGAAACGCAGGGAGAG